GTTTTAAAAATCGTTTCATATGTTGTGGTTCATTAGTTGGCAATTTATATGTTCTCAAACCGAACTCTCCCACAGTGCAACATAATGAAATGAATAATGTCATAACTACATCTAAAAAGAGGAAGGAGACTTCGCAGATGAATCAAGCATATCTGTGGCACCTTAGACTTGGACACATCAACCTCAGGTGGATTCAAAAGTTAGTGGCCAGTGGACATCTCGGTCCATTGGAAGAGCACTATCCAACTTGCGAATCATGCCTGGAAGGTAAGATGGCCAAGAGGCCATTTACGGCAAAGGGGTATAGGAGCCAAGAAGTGCTAGGATTGATTCATTCTGATTTGTGTGGTCCTATGTCGATCCAGGCTAGAGGAGGTTTCGAGTACTATGTGTCTTTCATAGATGTTACTCGAGATTTGGGTACGTTTATCTGTTGCACCGCAAGTCCGAATGCTTTGAGAAATTCAAGGAGTATCGGGCAGTTGTGGAGAAGCTTCATGGTAAATGTATCAAGTCACTTCGTTCTGATCGAGGTGGCGAATAGCTTTTTGGAGAGTTTAGGACATACTTATCGGAAGCTGGGATTGAATCCCAACTGACTGCACCCGGCACGCCCCAGCAGAATGGGGTTGCAGAGCGAAGAAATAGGACTCTTATGGAGATGGTTAGGTCTATGATGAGTTATTCAAGGTTACCAGATTCGTTCTGGGGTTTGGCATTGGAAACGGCATCGTATATTCTTAACATGGTTCCGTCGAAGTCAGTTGACACTACCCCTTATGAGATGTGGAAAGGGCGCAAGCCCAGTTTCTCGATGTTTCGAGTTTGGGGTAGTCCTGCACACGTGTTAGTGCAGGAACCTGGCAAGTTGGAGAAACGTTCGGAAGCACGAGTTTTCGTAGGCTATCCCAAGGGAACGAAAGGTGGATTATTTTATAGTCCCGAGGATCAGAAGGTGATCGTTTCGACGAACACTAGATTCTTGGAAGAAGACTATATTATGAATCATAAGCCCGCGAGTAGACTAGTCTTAGGGGAGTTAAGAGGTGAGATCGATGGTTCCCCACCGAGTGCACAAGTAGATACATCACATAATACTGCAACACGACACACTGAGAGTGTACCAGTGCAGACAGTGCCTCGTCGCAGTGGGAGGGTTTCTTATTTACCCGACCGATGGATAGGTCTTGGAGAGTCGTCAGACTCAGTTACAGGAGGCCTAGAATCGAACCCAAGAACTTACGATGAGGCACTCCAAGATAAAGATGCAGATTCATGGAATGTTGCAATGAAAGCTGAAATGGGGTCAATGGACTCCAATCAGGTCTGGGATCTTGTAGAACTACCCGATGGGGTACGACCCATTGGATGTAAGTGGATCTATAAGAGAAAGAGAGGATTGGATGGGAAGGTGCAAACCTTTAAAGCTAGGCTTGTTGCGAAAGGTTATACCCAGATCGAGGGTATTGATTATGATGAGACCTTTTCGCCAGTAGCTATGCTTAAGTCCATTCGGATTCTCTTGGCTGTAGCCGCTCATATGGACTATGAGGTCTGGCAGATGGATGTCAAGACAGCTTTCCTTAATGGGAACCTGCAAGAAGACATCTATATGCAGCAACCAGAGGGATTCATTGCTGAAGGTCGTGAGCATCTAGTGTGTAAGCTTAATCGGTCTATTTATGGACTGAAGCAAGCTTCGAGATCTTGGAACATCCGTTTTGATGAGGTGATCCAGTCGTACGGGTTCACTCAATGTCCGGATGAGCATTGTGTTTACAAGAAAATCAGTGGGAGCGTGGTGGTGTTTCTTGTGCTTTACGTAGATGACATACTGCTTATTGGAAACAGTAAGAAGGAGTTATCAGACGTAAAGGTGTGGTTGTCTAAGCAGTTTGATATGAAGGACTTAGGTGAAGCAGGACACATTCTTGGTATTAGGCTCATTAGAGATCGTAAGAAGAGAATGTTGTGCTTATCCCAGTCTTCATACATAGATACTGTCTTGGCCAGATTTAGCATGCAGGATTCCAAGAAAGGTATGTTACCTTTTAGACATGGAATACCTTTATCTAAGGAGATGTCTCCTAAGACGTCTAAGGAGATAGAGGAGATGAAGACAGTTCCTTATGCTTCGGCAGTAGGAAGTCTCATGTATGCAATGCTATGCACAAGGCCGGATATTAGCTACGCCGTTGGCATGGTAGCTAGATATCAAAGTAATCCAGGACGGGAACATTGGTCTGCGGTGAAGCATATACTCAAGTACCTGAGAAGGACTAAGGAGTACATGTTAGTTTACCGTGCAGACAGCTTGTTACCTCTGGGTTACAGTGATTCTGATTTCCAGTCAGATAGGGATGAAAGTAAGTCAACCTCAGGTTATGTGTTTACCTTGGGAAGTGGAGCCATTTCATGGAGGAGTGCTAAGCAGAAATGCGTGGCAGACTCCACCATGGAAGCCGAGTACATAGCAGCCTCAGAGGCAGCGAAAGAGGCAGTTTGGCTCAGGAACTTCTTAGTGGACTTAGAGGTTATACCGAGTTTGCCACGTGGTATCACCGTGTACTGTGATAACAGTGGAGCAGTAGCGAACTCAAAAGAACCTCGAGCCCACAGGGCAAGCAAACACATAGAGCGCAAATACCATCTGATTCGGGATATCGTTGGTAGAGGAGACGTTGATGTTGCCAAGATTGCATCAGAGGATGCATGGCGATAGGATCGACATAGGTCTTTTAGAATAACGGATTGATAGGACTATACTGTAAAAGCGAAAGCTTTAAGTATAAGTGGGAGATTGTTAGTGTTATATACTGAAAGCTTGGCTTTGCATGTTATTACACATTTACCCTTTATGAATGAGAATCATGTTAGATTAAACAAGTTCTACGTTCTGTTGTTCTGCACTTAGATAGGGTGGGTCGTCATCGGGCGAACCGAAGATCACTCTATCAGTCACTTGCGAACAAGAATAGTTGTTCACAACCTAGATGGACATGAACACCCCATCCGAACGGTTGTAGTGTCAACTGTACAGTTTGTCTTGACTGATTAGTTGCACTAGTACATTTATGTATTGAACAGGATCCCAGAGAGGAGAAGTTCATTTTATACTGATCGTCGTAAATGAACTAGGCCTCGGTTAATTACTGCGTTCTCTTAACCCGTAAGATATTAAACAGGCAGATATATATAATATATATTACTTTGATTCACATGGGTGAGGTTCAGTTCGCTGGATTAATATTCCTACTGTTTTGGGTAATATTATTATATATAGGATGTGCTGTTAGGATATTTACGGTCACCATGTGCGTTAGTTTGATGATGTCCCCGGAGTGAGTTCATGAAGGATTGTTATGCTAAACCCTGCAGGTGGATTAAATTCCGGCATAATAAGAATGTGATGAACGAGCGCTAGCTTCGGTGAAATAATAATAAATTAATTAATTCTTGATTGTCAGTAATCGAATTAATTAATGGACATTATATCTTAAACGTGGGGAGGTAAATCGAGTAATTATTATTGGAGTCTCAAATGTAATTTGGGCTAGGGAAAGGGAGTGCAATAATATAATGTTGGTGGCCCATTAATATTATTTAATTAATTAGAGGAGTGGTTTTGGCCCACAGTTAGTCTAATTAATTAAGGAGCCCTTTTCCTAATCTCCTTAGGATCCCTACTGGAGCTCTATATATACATCATTAAGCTCATGAGAAGAGAAGTCTCATTCTCACGTGAAACACGTCTCTCTCTCTAGATCTCATTCGAGCTTTATCTTCTTCTTGTTGCTCCACTGGTACAAGTTGAAGAAGGGTGTATTGAGTAATACAGTAGAAGATCTGTAGGTAAACCGAGACGAAATAGATTTTGACCTACAGAACTAACCGGAAGTCCGATTGACACGTACAGTATACCCAGACGACCGTCTGGACGAGAGCTTTCTATCGCCGCCGACGTCACCGGAATTCGACGCTGCACGCGCCCTCACGCGCCGCCGGAAGGTGTCTGGCAGCAAAATTTTATTTTGATCTGTTTGCATCCGTTTGATCCAGTTTTGATCTGATCTTGTTCATGCAACCAAGACGCGTGTTGCGGTCAATCAATTGCGGTCAACCGTTCGTGGTCAACCAGATCTACATAAATTTTAAGCCGTAAGTTCTCTACGTCAAACCTTTAGATCCGCTGCGCATAGGTTTACGTTTGCTATTGAATTCGTGATTTGTACATAACGAGATCCTCACAGATCCCAACACCTTTTTTGATTGGCATCTTAAGCCTTCACAAACAAAGTGTTCAGCAAATCAAACGATGGTACAGGCATCGACTTTTCAGCAATTACATGTTCTTGGGCCCGTGCCAGAAACTCTTGATATGTCTGGAGCTTGTTCTGGCACATGGACCAACGAAACATCGAGTTTGGCTTCAATCCAGAATAGGCGGACACCAACAAAGTCTCTAGGTGGCATGGCTCCATATATAGAACAAGATCATTGAATCAAGCTATGTAATCCTTCAATCTCTCCTCGGCTCCTTGGACAATGTTCGTGATGGATTCTTTCGGTATCATAAAAATATGGGACCCAATAAAATGAGATTGGAAGGCCTGACCTCAGTTGTTCCCAGCTATGAATAGAGTGGGGGAACAAAGAATGGTACCATCTCTGTGCTTTGAGCCCCAGGTGAAAACACACGACACCTGAAGATATCTCCTACCCCATGCAGGTCCATCCACGAAGTGTACAATTCAGGGGTGGGCATCAAGGTCTGAATTCCCGTCATACAACCTCATCTGTGGAATTTTTGCTTTTTCAGGTAAAGGTTTCTGGAGAATTTCATGTAGTAGGGGCGAGGTCGGATCGACCAAGAAAGTGAATGAAGGTGATGGTGGTGAAGGAACTCTCTTGGTAGTCAAGTTTTGTCGGACTTCCCGTTCGTCTATTTACTTTTTCAACGCGGCCACTTCAGGGGTGTCTCCCTAAAAAGTTCGGCTCTTATGGATTTTTCCCTTAAATCGGGTTTCACTTATCTGTCTCCGAAATGGTGGAAAACTGAGGGGTTAGTGGACCTAGTGTCAATACCGTCCGCAAACTTACTTTCTCCGACGTCTTCTCTGCTAATACGGGTGACTGCAGTCCCTTTATGGGTTTTAGGTCAACTATTGTGGAAATGTAGGGTTGTGAGTGAATCAGTTCCTTTTGTTTGTCCTGGTCTAGATTGATGTCTTTTTTGGCGGATGTTTAGGGTTGCTGAGGGTGAAGGTAAGGTCTGTGCCAATAAACTAAAAATTCCTTCTACGATATCTGGGTCTTAGAGTAATGTGGCCTAGTCTACAGTTTGGTCCACATTAAGGTTTTGTTGGTTTTGTTTAGTTTCTGGGGATTCTAGTAGGGTATTACGACTGGTTGAAGACATTTTCCGATAAAGAAGTAGTTGTTTGTGGTGGAGTTATACCAAACAACATGTGAACCTCTTTCTAGCGCCAAGATTTTGCCCACTAAAAGTCGATGCAACGGAAATAAATAATTTAAATAACACGAGCAGGAGAATGAACAATTTATAATTGTTGAACAAGAAAGTAGTTCGGTCTTTTTCTCTGTCATAGTTTAGAGTGAATATTTTTTACTGAGTATATCTCATGGGTCCCTCAGTAAAAAAAAACAGGTGCTATTTATAGTAAGTACAATGACAGTTGGTCCTTTACTTAGGTTACACACCGCTCAACCTATACAGAATGACTTATTCTAATGACAAACCTCCCAACGAATAGACAGGTATATGTCTTGTCAATAATATTTGCAAGGCTATGTTGCATATAATTAAATGGATTTGCCACTTGTCGTTTTGGGCTCTGTTTGGCTCTACTAATGAGTTGTCATATCAGTGTCTTATCTTCAGTACAATTGGATCTTACTTGTACGCTGTCGAATCTTCAAGTCAGTACATGTAGTATTCGGCATATGAATTTTTATTTTTAGCGGACATTGTATGATGATGCTTGTTGTTCGGTCATTTTATTCTTTTATACTTGACATGTTGCTTAGGGAATGCCTTATCTAGTTCGGATATCAAAAATCTTCATTCTTTGCTTTCACACTCATCAATGAAGCTTACAGGGAGAAGTGGGGCTGTTAACAAACCATACATTCGCTAACAAAAGTTCTTTCGAGCTCATTCGTGTTCGACAACAACTCGTTCTCTTGTTAATCGAGTCGAGTCCAAACAGAAAATTAGTCTCGTTTAATAATCAAACGAACACCAGTTCGTTCACAAACGTGCTATAATATTCGCTAACATTAATTTAATAAAATTTTATGTTACATTAATTTAATATTATTTTATTTTATTTTTTGTATACTTACGAGATATTTTAATAATAAAATCTTAAATATAAAACTATTTTTATTAATTTTTCTTATTTTCGAGTGCGAACGAACATAATTCGAGAGAATTACACATAGGTTGTGTCCTAAATTACGAACACGAAGAAACTCGAACTTTGACGAATAATTAAACAATTGAGCCCAAACACAAGTTTTTAATCGAAAAATAAACAAACGAACACGAACAATGTTCGAACGTAAACAAACATGAGCTCAAAATGCCCAAGCTCAGCTTGTTCAGTTCAATTACAGAGAGAGAACGATTCGTACGTAAACAAACATGAGCTCAAAATGCCCAAGCTCAGCTTGTTCAGTTCAATTTCAGAGAGAGAACGACTATGATGCCAGCGGACTGTGAAAAGGAATTGAAATGCAATTGTAATTGCAATGAATGCTTGTTTGATCCCATAGAAAAACCTAGGGATGAGTGGAACATTCTGACTTGGTGGAAGCTAAATGGATCCAACTATTCTAATTTGCAAAATCTAGCCAAGGATGTCTTGGCAATTCAAGTCAGTACTCTGATCAGCATTAGCAAGAGGGTTATTGATCCTCATAGTTGAGTTAAAAGACAAGATTATACAGACAAATAACACAATAAGAACAAATGTAGAATAGCATAATAAATATATAGCCAGAAAATACGACACGCCGCCACAATTTGCCACAGTTCAGTCCTCCCAACGATATTCAGTTAAACAGCTGCGTTGATGCAACGACTAACAAAATGTAACTAAACGCAACACACGGTCTCAATGTAGGGAAACATTACATGAGCCTTAGACTCACATGCAATCTTCACATTTTGAAAACTCCCGCGAACAACATCATACTTTGTGACCACACCTTCTCCTCTTAAAAACAAGAAAACATCAACCCTGTCCTCCCCAGCCGCAACCATATTGCACACATTGTACCAGCAACGGCCGCCAGAGTCAACTGGGACTTCGATTCTGTACCTAAAATACCACTCCGAATAGTCCCTCCTCATCTCATGCACATCAAGACAAACGCTAGAAACAGAACTAGACTCTGTCCAATTCACGTACTGCAAGCGGCCGCGCGACTCTCCAAAATAATTACTTACCGACCAGCTGCAGTTCGACTTAACGATAGGCGGTGGGTTCGGCATCACTTCCAATGTCTTCTCGTTGTCCTTTTCACCGTCGATTTTCATATAAGCGCATTTCCCGTGCTTGCCAAACCCTACCCAGTGTACAGCACCGTTCCAGTAGACCCCCTTTCGGAAATCCACGCCGTCCATAGTTTCCTTCCCAAAGGGATTCCCTTGTTTTTCCCAGGAGCCCGCTCGGGAGGAGTAGATCGAGGCCCGGCCCGCACAGGGATTGACGCAGACAACCTTGTAATCGCGTGGGGACCACCTGACAGGGTCGTAAGCCAGCGACATCCGGAGCGTGCCGAGGTTGTTGTGGTCGAAGTTGATTTCCGGGAGCAGAGCGTGTTGGTTGGTGGCGGGGATGGAAACCCAGCAGCGGGTGTCGGTTTCGGAGGGCTTGCAAAGCAACAGGCCGTTGCAGGAGCTCTCGATGTGACGGAGGGAGGTGCCGCCGGCGCGGATGTCGAGAGTTCGGAGCGGCGGGGAAGAGCGGTCGAAGGAGACCACGACGTGGGTGGCGGGGGAGGCGTCTCCGCCGTCGGGGGTGTTGGGGAAGATGAGGGCGAGGGCGAGATTGGGGTTGGGATCGCGGCGGAGGGTGAATTGGGGGTCGGAGATAAGGGCGCGCCACTGTTTGGAGACGGATTTGNGAAAAATCCCGAAAATAATTTCGTTTTTACTATTAATGGTAAATTTTAAAATTTTTCATTAATCCCGCCTTTGACAAGATTTTTGAATTTAAAAAAAAAATCAATGTGTAAAATCCGGTTAAATCAACTAAATTAGGATAACAAGTTTGAAAATTTGTGTCTCCTTAAAGTTTGAAAAATTGTTTTATTCATATTTATCTAACTAAAGTACTAAACAATATTTTTAAAGTTGTAGAGAATCTCAAAGTGATTAATATTTGTTTGTCTATATTTAAATAAAATGATATATAAAAATTTTGAAAAGAATCCTCCATTTTTATCCGTTGCTCCTTGAATTTAGATATTATTTTTGTTCAATTAGAAATCATTATCCTTAATTAAGATATCTTATTTTTCACAATTGTTCAATTCCCCAGTTATCCCAAAAGATCTGCATTCTCTATATGACTCTTTTTTAATCTTAAAAACGTTGTAAATTATTAAAAAAAAAAAAAAAGTTATGTGATAACCTTAAACTTCTGATTAATTTTTATTTCGAATTCTTCTCTTAATTATGCATTTGTTAGTTGGTGATATATATCTTTTCGTTTTAAATAAGATAATGTTCAAACTTTCAATCCAAATCTTCTAGAAGTCAATAAATTTAATTTAAAAAATTTACTTTCCAATTCGTATTTAACTAAATTTATTAGTCAAAAATTAATTTATTATAAAATTCCAAAAAGTATCCATCTATTACTATATAAAAGAGGTGAAAGAATTACCTAAAATAATATGTATTCAGTTTAAAATTTTGGTTTTTAATAGTATTTGATTTAAAAAAAATCATAAATTCTCGTCCAAAGCACATTTGATGAGTTTTAAAAAAATAAATTTGAAATTGGGTGCAAATCAACTATGTTATTAAAATTAGTCAATATTTGTTTGTCCATATGTGTCTAACAACAAACTTTTTTGAAAGTTTGGAAAGACTCTCATATTATGTTATGTGGATTCTTTCTATTATTTGATCTACATAAAAATAAAAAATGACGTGAAGGAGTTTAATCTTATGTCTTTAAAATATTTAAATGAAATATTGTCGAATTGTGAAAATTGTACATATAAATAAAAAACACCGTATGTCGGAATGTGATTGTAGATAAAGGCAAATACTTTAAAATAGAACAATATCGCATTCTAATACTGAAATCCGTGTGTAAAATTTTTTTTACAAATATATATATAGGGTCACGCTCCGGTGAGAATGACTCTTAATGCGAGAAATGAGAATAAATCATAGTCATTAGATCGGATGATCTAATGGGCAGAAAAAAATCAAAATTGTACATTCATTAAGGGTAATACGGTAATTTTTACATACAAACAATGGGACCCACATAACACAACTCCCCACACCCACGTGAGTCAAAGCCACTTAGTCTCCTCACCTAACCAATCTCTCTCTCTCTCTCTCTCTCACACACACACACACAAAGTTCAACACAGACGTACGCACACAGTCGGCTACCGTCCGACCACCACCACGCAGCACCGCCACAACCGCCGAGCAGATGCAGATCTCCGTTGCTGCTAGCCACCGCCTCTGAAAGGTGGACACACCACACACCTCCGTTTGCCGCTCACCAACGTCGCCGGTCGCCGGAGCTTGAACACGCACGCCGCCGTTCGCAGCTTGCTCTACATACACACGAGCAGCAACAGTCGTTCGCCTATCTCGGATCGCCGTCGTACACAAACGCACACTCCGTCGGTGCCTGAAAATTCACAGATCGGGAAGATCCTTCACGAGCGGCGGTCGACAATGTCCGCCCTCGCAGCCGCCATGTATCCATAGGCCCAACCGGCTTTCATCTCTCTACAGGTCGGCCGACGGGAAATAGTTGGTGGCTGTTCGTGGTTGGGAAAGTGTAAATGAGATTTGGGCTTTTTGTTTGAAAATTAGATCATCTTTAAGGACTCATTTGCAATTTGAAGAATGTTGTTTCAATTTGAAATTTATTTTATTGGAAAAAGACGTGATTTACATAAAATGTAATAAAATTCATATCAATGGTAGGAATGGCTGTTGGTAGCTGAATGAGATTTGGCTTTTTGTTTGAAAATTAGGTTAGGGAGTCATTTGCAACTTTAAAAATGTCGTTTTAATTTTTATTTATTTTATGGGGAAAATATGTGACTTACATAATATTTAATAAATTTCATATTAATGATGAATAACACACATAGTATAGTGTTTATATATTTTTTATACGTATATAAGTTCTGTATTTTAAATCAAAAATAATATAAAGTATTAAATAAAAATGATAAAATGTAAAATATATATTTATAACATAAATAATAAACTAATTTTAACCAACCAAATAACTAAATTATTTCAGTACACACAAAAATGAAATAAAAAAAATCCTCAATTATTTATGTTAATTTGATGTACAATTATATCTACTAAATATAGTTTTAAAAAACACATAATTTACATGAGATTCATATAAAACAATACACTTTATATATCAGTATGATGCACTTTGTAAAACATCTCGTTGCACTTTATAAGACGACTCGTTGCACTTTATCAACACACTTCACAATCAACAGATAAGAAATGGATACACATAAATCTAAAAAACGAATACACAAATTACTTTAACATCAATCACATCGTTTATGCACATAAAACACGAGCATGCTAATGTACCAAAACTACACCATTTCGCTTATACATCAACACATTGCACTTTATAAATCAACGCGTTGCACTTTATATAACAACACGTTGCACTTTACACAATATCACGTTGCACTTTATCACGACTATCGAATTGCACGATAGATTCAAAATCACCAAACTCAAATTGTCTCTTAAAAAAAATTATATGTTTGTTCGATTATCATCACTTGTAAATCACAAGCATTTCAGTTTGATTGGCGACCTAATTTTTAAAATAATCAAAAAACCGATGAGGCCGAACAATATGAAAAAATATTATTATTTTTATAAATTTTTTGTAACGCGATTGCACATTATAGTTATATGAATTGCACCTTAATATCTATTAGATTGCACAATATTGATCAATATGAAAAAATATTATTATTATTTTTATAAATTTTATGTAATGCGATTGCACATTATTGTTATATGAATTGCACTTTAATACCTATTAGATTGCACAATATTGATCGAAGCCAACCGAACTAAAATTTTCAATTCGAACTTTTATAATTCAATTCAATTGCCTTGATTTACTTTTAAAAGCTCGGTTATTTCAATTCGATATCGAATTTTTTAGTTAAATAATTGAAACAAATGAACGACCAAATTATATAAAATTTATTATTATTATTATGCTTTATATTTTTTATTTATCATATTATTTATTTTTAGCCAAAACAATATAGGAATATTACATACTATATAAAATATTGAAATATTATTTGTAGTTTGATTAATTATAAAAGTGACCCATAAACTAAATTGTAAACTATTAACATAATAGCGTTGGAGCTAATGAGCTTATTTGTCGAATCGGTTTAAAAATTGCAATGAAGACCCTAGAGTTTATCAAATTTTCAAAAGTGAGCCCATAAAAATCTGCAAAAAGTTTTCACGCACAGCACACAGATATGAACTGCAATTATCACTCTCGGCCCTCTTTTCCGACCGCCGCCGACTTTTCCTCTCAGATCGACGATGTTTCACCATTCTCCTCAATACCGGCGACGAGATCGAGCCGTCTCCACTCAACCTCTTCCCGGTCGATAATTGCAGTTCGTGTCTCCTGTGCGCCGACGACGTGGTGGCTCTCGCCGTGAAGGACACCGTCGTCCTCTACTGGCTGGTGGCGGCGTTAGCTGATGTGTCGTCTGGATTGTGGACTGGACGCCGCTCGACGGTGAACTGTGGCCGTGAAGTTCGTTCCGGCGATCGACTGGACGGCGTCGGCGGTGGACTATGGTGGTGGTACGACTGGTCTGGCCGTGCTGTGGTGGCGATGGGACAAGGCGGGGCGGTAGCCGCGACTGTTTGCAACTTCAGGCGAGTCCGACGGAGATGGGTGTATGCATCGGTGGTCCGGCGAGGGTTGACGGAGAGTGGAAGATGGCTGCGGCACTCGACGGCGGGCGACAAAGGTCGACGGTACTCAGCGGCGGGAGGCAGCGGGCGAGAGGTGCTGCAGATGGGGTGGTCGCCGGCGCAAATCTGACGTGTGTGTGAGCAGGTGAGAGAGAAGTGGAAGTTTGGTAGGGGTGGTAGTGGGTCCCACATGTGATGTGTGTAATTCGGTAATTACTCCTTTGCCCTTATTTAATGGATAAATGTGTATATTTGACCAATGGATACACACTTATTTACAACATTGCCATCACATGTTTGACTACCATATTTAATATTTGACTTGATCATGATCATTGATGTGTTGGATCGAATGGTTCAAAATCATTCTTATTTCTTTCACTATCTACCATTCTCATATGATCCCTTCTCTCTCTCTATATATATATATATATATATAGGGTCACGCTCCGGTGAAAATGGTGCTCAATGAAAGAAATAAGAATGAATCTTATCCATTAAATTTGATGATCTAACGATAAAAACAAGCTAATTATTTACACTCATTAAGGTATAATGAACATTTTATCTTTTACATATGTTATGTGGACCCCACTCTATTCACATCTCTCCTACACACTTTACACGTATTTACACACATTGTACAGACTCTCTCTCACACACACTTTACACACACTCTGTACACACACCACTCACACATACACAGACGATTCACACACACAACACAGCCGACACAGCTCCGCCGCCGCCCGCCGTCTGCCGCCAGCCGCCCGCCACCGCCATCTCCTTCCGCCGCCGCTGCACATATGCCGCCGTCGGCGCACTCTATCTGTCCCACACAGAAGACCACACACACACAAAACACAACTCACACACACACCGTCGGTTGCTTTCCGCCACTGCCGATTTCGCCGTTCGCCGCCCGCCGCCCGCCACCGCCGTCTTCCTCACAGTCATCGGCTATCAGCAGAGAATCTCAGAGGTAGCGTCGCCGGAATTTGGGACAGCATCTTGCGAGTCGGGCTTAGTCGCATCTCGAATAGGTTTTGACGGGATGCTCTCCTAAGGTCGAGCAGATAAGGCGTGAGTGCGTGAGTTCCGGAGGGATGTCGATTTGCAGAGCCGTGAAAGAAGGGGCATGAATTAGGGGTGGCGCTGAAGGGCTGTCAATTTGCCGTGAGAAAAGGGGGCATGAATTAGGGCTTGGGCTATTTTTTTGAAAATTAGATAGGTTTGAGGGACCTAATTGTAATTTTATAAATTTTATTTATATTACAATTTGGTTAATGGGTAAAATCTATAATTCAGTAAAATTTTAATAATTGCACTTTAATGTACAATTCATCGCACCATATCGTTTGGAATTGCACATTAAAAAATCACTATACAGACTGCACCATATTGTTATACAACATGCACTTTACTACATATGATATTGCACATATTGACCGAAACTGAATGAACTAAAGATATCGTTTCCAATATAGAAATATCTCATAAGTGAATATTAATGATAAATAAAGTCTACAAAGTTTAAAATTTTTAATATACAAAAAAGTATTAAAATAATAAATAACTTTTATAAATAAGAAATAATAAATACACTGAGAACAACACAGTAGTGTTATATGAATTGCACTTTACCGACTACCAAGTTGCACCATAGTGTTAGACGAATTGCACATAATGACCGAAATTGAATGAACTGACATTTTTCGTTTCTAAATTATATATTTCGGTTCGATTATCTATTTTATTTGTAAAATATCAATTATGTCAGTTCAGTATGGACATTATTTTTTTAAAATAACCAAAATAATCAAACCAACTAACTATATAAATAATAATAATAACTTATATATATATAATTTTATATAAAAATATTGTTTATTTTCAGCTAGAAAAATATAAAATATGAAATATAAATATTAATAATACTAAATATTTTTTTATAATTCAAATATGAAGTTATTTGTATTATTTACAGTATTTCGATTACCGATTATTTAAGTTCAATTATTGTGCAATGAACTGATCTGTAATGTGCAATGAATTGAACTGTAATGTGCAATGAAGTAAGCACTAATGTGCAATGCTTTGAACAATAATGTCCAACTATTAAATTTTTAATAAATTACATATTTAACACATAAATCAAATTAAAATATATCAAAGATTTATAAAATTACACTTAAGTCCCTGAGACTTATCTAATTCTCAAAAGTTGGCCCAAATTAAAAAACAAGATCTGGTTTAAAAACCCCAACAGAATCCAATCCAAAACAATAAAAGAAATGTGGATTCAGTACAACAAAACGACTCCGTCGATAAGAGCCTTGGGAGTCATTAGTTAACATCAGAAATCAAAATCCAAGATTCAAACGGCAATGAATTAAATTAATTATCTACTGTGTTTAATCACAGTCCAAGATCCAAAACTAGATCTAAAATCCCTCGAATTCAGTACTGATGAATTCTCCTCGCCACTGAAGCACCGCCACCGCCGGCGGAGGCGAATTCTGAGGAGGCGCGCGGGAAGGAAAAGGAGTTGAAGAGCTTTGATGGCTGCGCGCCCCAGAACTTGAAGGAGTCAACAATTTGTCCGCCGAAATCGCAAGCCAATGACATCGGAGGAGAGATTGGTGAGAGAACCGCCGCCTGATTCTTCGATTTGGCCGTCGACAGGTCAATGGCGGCGGATTTCGTGCGGTTAGCGCTGGATTTTACCGCCGGCCGGTCAGGTGACGGTGTCAGGTCCGGCGACGGGCGTTGGGAACGGTGATTGTGGCGAGGCTGACGGCGGGAAGCTGCTGTCTGCGGCAGCGGCCGTCTCGTAGGTGGAGAACCTGCGGCAGGAGGAGGACGTGTGTTGGAGGGGTGTGTGTGCGTGAGTTGTGGATAAAAAATCTTGTGTGTGTGTGTGTGTGAATTTATGTGAGAGAGTGATAAAAGGAGGTAGTGTAGGTGTGTTATTTAAAATGACTATATTGTCCTTAATGAATGTTAAATGAATAAATTATCCTTAATGAATTTGACTTTAATTACTAACTTTGACCCTATCATGACCATTGATATGTTGGATCTAATGGTTCACATTCATTCTTATTTCTTTCACTATCTACTATTCTCATGTGATCCTAACTCTATATATATATATATATATATCACTTCAAAAAAACAATTTGCTTATTGTGGTTACATCAATCTTATTATTTTAAAAAAATTATTGATTGTTTAATCTATTAATATATAAAGAGACAATCCTATTTACCTGAAATAATATCAAATAAATTCCTGAAATTTCCACTAAAAAATTTCAATACTTACTAAACTTGAATTTTGTTGGAAATCTTTGAAAAATTGCGCCTAAATGTGTGTTGATATTATTAGGAAATAAGTTTAAACCCAAATATTTAAAGGAAATGATCACGTGCAAATTTTTATGGGTATATTATTTATATTAATATGAACTAGTGTGTAGTCCGTGCGATGTACGGGAAAATAATATTAAATAATAATTATATATTAAAGATGCAGGTAAATAGTATTAAATAATAATAATAAATTAAATATTTGAGATTAAAATGTGATATAATTTACGTGTGTCGGTTTGTTATACAATATAAAATTATCATGTACAAAAGAACACAAAACATGTATGTTTAAAGTTTTAAAAATACCTAAAATAACATATGTAAAGATATCTAAAATATTCTACATTATTCTTAAAAAAATGTTAAGTCACCTAAACTTCCACTAAACAATTTTGTAAAGACAAAATGTTTAAAAGTACCTAAATTATGTGTGAGTATTGAATGTGTAAAAAAAGTATCTAAAATATTATTTGAGTAAATAATAAGTATTACAATCTTATATCTCACGTTGAACTTTATGAGAGAATATTTACATAGTAGATATTGTCTATATGTCTTGTATACCGGTTTTATAGTGTTACTATCAACATTGTCTATATGTAATGTATTGCATGTCAAGTGATTTTGATTATATCTCTTTTATCATATTTTGTACCGATCCATCCATTAATTCTTATTTTTTTACCAATTTCACAGAAATATGTTATATGAATTTGTGTATATATCGCAAATGCTAACGCATTTAGTATGAAATACATAACTTGGAGCATTTTGTTAGAAAGAATTATTATTCTTTGCATTGGAATATAATACATAAACCTATATAGAAATTTCAGAAATTTTTATTTTGTTGAAAAAATTTCAAATGTTGAAAAACTATAAAATAAAAATATAATTATTAATATGATATAAAATAATAAAATATTAATTTAAAATGGTTGAAAATTAAAATATCATATGTGTAATAATATTATTTTAATTATTAGGTTTTTAGTAATATTATTTGATATCCATTCACAATCTTATTGGCAAAAATTTAATTTTTTCTTCATAAATCTAATGAAACAAAAAATGAAAATTATTTATCTTCATTATTCATATACTAATTAATTAGGTAATTAATTTTGATCTCGTTAATCATGCTTTATCTGCCGACAAATACTCAATTTATTCCCTAAATTAACGTGTTGTCCTTGTCATATCATATATTATTATAGATTTGTTACTAAGATAAAGATGAATTTTTTTATTCCAATCTTTGGGATTTCAATATTTTTCAAAAAAATTTAAATTCAATTAGGCAAGTTTTTTTGAAATTTGAAATTTAAATATAACAAATTTCATGATTTATGGTAGCATTAAATGCGGGTTAATTTTTTTATTAGAAAAATGAAAAAAAAAAACAATCTAAAAACAGTAGAAGATAAACCCAAGGAAAACAAAATCAAAGTCCCTACCTGGATCTAGAAACTTCAAATTCCAAAACTTTGCAAGCTATGACAATCTTGACCCAAAGGAACAAGGCGTAACCCTCCTTCTAAATAAATCACCACTAGACAACAACCCCATGACCCAACACCATCCCCAACACAACCCGACACCAACAACAAAACTAAAATACAACACGCCAGAGGAGAACCAACCAACACAACCTAAGAAAATGGACAACCCAGGGGAGACGACCTTGTCGGTGCTAGCTCCGGCCGCCACAAGGGCGGCGACCTTTGCCAACAGCCCCATGATGAGATTGGAAGTTTTGACCTCCGAGGTCGAGAAGGGCCAAGGGCCGAAACGATCTGAGAAGCCCTAGGAAAGGGCCAAAACAACGTGTGCATGGCCTAGTAGACGGGTACAAGTTTGTATGTGAGGCGCACGAGCGCAAAATAGACGAGACGAGTCGACTTGTACGCGGCAAAGGCATCACGAGCACGCGCGCATGGTGCACTACAGCGCGAGCATGCACACAAAGAGACCCAATAGCGACGGCACACACAGGCGCAATGGCAGAGGCGTGCACGGATGAGACCCGAGAATACCTCATGGCGACGGCAAGGTCTGGGCAAGGATCGGGGCAAAAGGCGAAAGTCCCATGTGAAGGAACAGTATGCGCGAGGGAGGCTCACGCGAGCACGTGGAAATGTCGTGCAAGGCACGGGCACAACAGAGTGCGCGAGTCATGCGGACACAACACGCGGACGCGCAAGGGCACGCATGTGAACGGGTCAGGACCAAAAAGCAGGTCTGGTCCAAGGAGCACTCGTAGGCCTGGTGAGCACAGCCCTCATGAGCTTAAGAGTTAACAACCCCGAGGACACCGCACGAACAAGTGCGTGTAGGCCTGACGACTAAGCGCTTGGATTAAGGCAGCGAGTGAGATAACCCGCGAAGCTAGGCACCGCGCGAGATTGGAAGAGACGACGCCATAAGATGATGCGCACCTTGCCGAGAACACGCGCACGACATTGGCGACGCAAGCCAGTGTGCACGTAGTGGTGCGGGGGACCGAGGTCCGAGTGGCATCAACAGGGTACGCAGAGGGCACGGGCACAGAAGCTCAAGTACACGCCAATGACTATGCGAGCA